CTCCATCTTAGCTCGACCGGAAGCCCACATATCACAGCTCTTTTGAACCATCCCTCTCAACAATATTCCATCAGCTCCCATTGGTTGCTCTTAGGGAGAGGCAGAACCTTATCCATCTGTCACACTGAGGTTCAAGAAGTGGATCAGTCCTCCAGCTGATTTTGAATGATGTCTCTTTCCTCTTCCTTCCTGACAGCAAATGTGACCCTGGATCCAGACACGGCCCATCCCCACCTCGCCGTATCTGAGGATCAGAAAAGCGTGTGCCGGGGCACCAAATATCAAGATCTGCCTGACAATCCAGAACGATTTGACAGGCATTGCATGGTGCTAGGATGTGAGAGATTCTCTTTGGGCAGGCATCGCTGGGAAGTGACTGTAGGGAGTGAGGAAGGCTGGGCCATAGGGGTTGCCAGGACATCTGTGAACAGAAAGGGCAAGTTTACCGCTAGTCCTGAGGGAGGGATCTGGGCTCTGAGGACATGGAAAGGGGCGTACAAGGCATTCATCCCTTCTCTCGCCTCTCCTCTGCCTTTCAGTGGGGAGCTCAGGAGGATCCGAGTCTGTCTGGACTGTGCTGGGGGGCGGGTGGCCTTCTTTGATGCCGACACATTAGCCCCTCTCTATACATTCTCAGGAATCTCCTCCTCTGGAAAGACCCTCCAGCCCTTCTTTTGGGTGTATGAGAAAGGCTGCCTCACTGTGTCTCCTTAAGGCCACCAGCCTCACTCACAGGCCTTAGCTGGTGTTAAGCTCCAGACTGAGGTAATTCACCTACAAATAAAATTTGTTGATCAAAGATACCTCTCTAACCAGTCTGGAAAAGCCTCTGTGGGCTTCCAGTCACTCAGCAAAACGAACTGAAACGAAGTCTTCTTTTCCTGTCTTAACATTAAAAGTCATACATGGGTTCAACCTCTACAACTTTCAATCCTGGTTTCTGTTTCCTTTTCTTTTTTCCTACCTCACCATCTCTTCTTCCGCTAAGGAGATGCAGGCATTCTATTTGCCACTTCCTGTGCTTCCTTTAATTTACCTCAAAAATTCACAGATGAAGCTCCATGGAGCTTTCAGATGTCTCACAACTACCCCCAAGACAGCATTTGGCAGGGTTGTACATTGAATTGCAGAGAAATGAAGTCATATATGTGCATGAGCCGAGCCAGAGGTTCCTGTCTTGCCCTAGGTAATCTCTCCACTGCACCCCTCCCTGTGTTTATAGGCCCAGGAACATTCTCCTTAAGCACTGTAGTTGTTCTGCTGGAGGGGTGTTTTTTAAAAAACTGATTTTTAACTGGTGCTGTTAAGGGAGTATTCAGTGCCAGTTTGTACTGCAATAGGCAGGTACAAGTCACACACCCTTTCAAACTAGGCTTGCCAATTCCCCCCGGGGGAGGGAACCCCGACCCAGAGGCCTGTTCACTTCCGGGTGATGTGGATGTGGTGCGCTTCACACGCGTGCGCGCGCTCCGGGAGCAACCCGGGATTCCCCCACTACAGGACAAGATAATACTTGGCAACCCTATTTCAAACATACAGCCAGCACCCCCCCTTTATCTTTACATTACCCTTCCATATGTATTACAAATAGGGTTGCCTTCAACCTGCAGAAGAAATGTCATGCCCCTTTAATATTTATTTATTTACTTACTGACTTACTTCATTTATATGCCTCCTTTCTCCCCAGTGGGGACACACGGTGGCTTACGTCATTCTCCTTTCCTCCATTTTATCCTCACAACAGCCCTGTGAAACAGGTTAGGCAGAGAGTGTGTGACAAGCCCAAGATCACCCAGGAAGTTTCCATGGCAAGAGTGGGGATTCAAACTCAGGTCTCCTCAACACTAGTCTGACACTCTTCACCACTACACCACACTGGCTTAATGTGTGGAAATGGGCAAGTGAAGGTTTTCATGGCATAGAGGTCAATAACCTCACCAGGTGAATAGCATCCCATCAAGCCTCTATTGAAGGGGTAGATCCAGTTTGATGTAGTGGTTAGGAGCGTGGACTCTAATCTAGGAGAATCGGGTTTGATCCCCCACTCCTCCGCATGCAGCTGCTGGTGTGACCTTGGGTCAGTTACAAGTTCTCTCAGACCTGTCCTCTCACGAGCAGTTCTTGAAAGCGCTCTCTCAGCCCCACCTACCTCACAGGGTGTCTGTTGTGAGGAAGGGAAGGGAAAGGAGATTGTATGCCGCTCTGAGACTCCTTCGGGTAGTGAAGGGTGGGATATAAATCCAATTTCCTCCTCCTCCTCTCCAGGGAGTTGGCAATTCTGCAAACAGGTAGGTCCTCCAATAAAATTAAAATTACCTAAATCTTCCATTCCTAAAATGAAACCGTGACATTAAATGAAAGAGATCCACTGGAAGAGATAATAATGCAAGGAACATTTGAAGGCAGCAGGGAAAGTTTGAAAGAGGAAGACCCAAGATGAGATGGATGGACCCCAACCAGGTAACATCTATGGTTAGGGTGATCTGGGGGGGTCAAGAGCCCTAACTGGACCCTGGAGAACAGGTTAGTGTCCTCTAACCACCATTGCAGAGACCTAATTACCACCCTGGGAACCAAGAGTAGTGGTTAGGAGCATGGACTCTAATCTGGGAGAACCAGGTTTGATTCCCCGCTCCTCCACATGCACTGGTCTATGTTTTGTGCCCATAAAATCATATTAGATTTAACAGTCTTCTCATACATCATATCATTAAGCAAGAAAGTGTAAATTCTTTTTTATTCTTAATCTGAAGAAGTCAGAATTTTTTCCAACTCCATCAAGTTTTCATAAAATCCCAGACAAAGATCTTAACCAAGAATATGGACAAAAAACAAAAGATACAGTTACAGGAAAGTACGGGATTTCAAATACAAGATAAAATAAAATATCTAGGAATCATGATGACAAATAAATGCAGTAACTTGTATGAGAATAATTATAAAGAGCTATTAAAGATAATTAAGCAAGACTTAGAGAAATGGGAAAACTTACAAATTTCTCTAATGGGGCAAATCGCCTTAATTAAAATGAACTTTCTTCCTAGATGGATATTTTTATTTCAGACAATCCCAATTTTACAGAATCAAATTTTTAAAAAAGATTTGGACCAATTAGTCTCAAAATTCATTTGGCAAGGAAAGCAACCAAGAATAAGGCTTAAGGCCTTACAGGATACTAAGGAAAGAGGAGGATTCGGGCTACCAAATTGGACATTGTATTATAGAGCGGCAGCAGTAGCATGGGTAAAGGAGTGGATTATGTTAGGAGACAAGAGAGTACTGAAACTCAAAAGGCATGATCTTATGCTAGGATGGCACGCCTTCTTGTGATATGAAAAAGCATCTTCGCAGAAGTATTTCAAACAACACTGGCTACGAGCGTCACTTAAAAGTATGGAAAGCTATATATAAAAGGCACTATCTGAAAAACTTGAGATTGATTGCACCTTTAAAGGCATTTACATTACCAAACATTTATGCTGGAAAAGACTTAAGATATACTGGACACCAAGAATCAATTGAAAGTATTAGAAGATTTGCCATGGTGGCAAAAAGTTCAAATAGAATCCAGATAAGAGCTGTTCTTGAAAAAGAGCAGTTCCTGTCAAGAGCTCTCTCAGCCCCACCTACCTCACAGGGTGTCTGTTGTGGGGAGGGGTGTGGAGTCTGAACAAAAGTCCTGCGAGGCACACCCGGGTCATGAGTTCAGACTTCCCAGGTCAAAGTTTGAATTCCCACAGAGACACTCTCGCCGAGAGAATTGGCAAGCAGGACATATTCTTTGCTGAGTCTGCATGAGCCTGCACAATGAATTACTGAGAACACAGTCTTTGCAACATTCGGGGAAAAGATGAGCTATGAGAAAAGAACATTCTGTGAACTACACTGTACTTTTTAGCTTACAAAGTCTTTTGCTCTGATTGTAACGAACTTGACTGAGCCTTCTTGATTCTAATAAAATGCTGCTGTGAGAGAGCCTGTCAGCTCAGAGAGACAGTCTTGAGAGAGCTTTGGTACAGAGAGAAGGAAAGACAGAGCTGCTGCAGCTTCAAGAAATCTGTTGTGTGGTGTCGTGATTTGAACCCTGGTCAAAGTCTACAGAGGGGAAGGGAAAGGAGTTTGTAAGCTGCTCTGAGACACCTTTGGGTAGTGAAGGGCAGGGTATAAATCCAATCTCTCCTTCTACTACTGCTTCTTCCTCCTCCTTCCTCTTCCTCTTGGGGCTAAATGTTGCTTTAAAGACTAGCATTCCCCACTCCTTTCTACCTCATTTACTCCCCCTTCCCCACCCACAACTACTATGGAGTTAAACTCAGTAGTTGGAAGTCTGTGACTGAAACTGGAACCACTGGAGGGGTCGAAGCTGCCGCCGCTCAAACTAAAAGAGATGGGAAAGTGGGACCCGTCCACTGGCTCTCTCCACAGCACATCAACAGAGAACTTAAGATTGCCAACTTTGGGTTCGGAAAGACCTGGAGATTTGAGGGTGGAGCCTGGGAAAGTGATTGATTGATGTAGTCTGGAGATCAGTTGTAATTTCAGGAGAGCTCTAACCCCCCCCCCCGAAGTTTGGCAACTGTACCAGAACTATAAGACACATGAATTCTTCTGCCCCCATCTGCCGTGAGCCTTGCCTTGGTAGGGGAGGGCGGTTTAAAATCTAATAAAGAAATAATAAACTCTAGCGGTGATTGCTTCTGACTGACCCAGGTCCTGCTTGGGTTCTTAGTGGTCAGTAGCTGCACTGGGAGATGCTCCACTCTTCTATTGCAGTTATTCGTTATGTGGTAGTATCCACCACCTGACCTCCAGGATCACCAAAACATCAGGTAGAGGTAGCTGGGGCTTGCACCTCAGTAGCAATGTTGTAAGGGTTCTTTCTGGCTTTTCAAGAAGGTTGTCCATCATTGATTTACCTGGGCTGAAGGCAGGGTTGATGACAACCCCTGAAGCTGGAGAATTTCTGAGACCTGTGCTTGATTCTCAACATGGAAGAAAAAGGGAAAGTGGAATGGGCTTCGCCGCTGGAGACAGAGGACAGGTCACTCCCTGGGAACTGGAGGGGCAGCTTCCCTGATCTTACCTTCCCTGATCTTACCTTCCCTGATCTTACCTTCCCTGATCTTACCTTCTTACCTTAGCCACTACTCCACACAGAGGTACCTGCTGTTGAACAGTAGCAAGCAGCCTGGCTTGGGTGCATTATGCAGGTCAGGGGTAGCAAGTAGCCTGGTGTCTCCAAACTTGGGAGTTTACACTCAAAGTCTGATCATTAGTGTCCAGAGGGAGGGATTATCTCTCACATAAACCACCAAAGCCAAGAAAGTTCCAATTAATTAATCTTGATTTCCAGGTACCACCTGGAGCTTGGCAGCCCTAGGAATAAACTAATACGACAGAAAGTGATGAAAATTGGAATAGCACAGCAACTGCGCAAGATACAACTGGGAATGATAGAATACAGTGGAGCACTGGTGAAACAAAACAAGCTAACCCAGATTTCAAGCAGCTCATAGAAGAGCCACAATGGGCATCTACTACATAGGAAGCACCACCAAGCAGATTCAAAGGTTTCGCTAAGCCAAATGTCATGAATCAGGATCGTCGGGAATCCTGAGAGCTCCAGGCGTTCCAACCTGTAATACTAACATTCGTCTGATGTAACATTCCATGATAAAATTGTTATGCCAGAAGTCACAACTGGTAATTTATGTGAGAGTAGATATCTTATTCTCTCCATTACCCCACCCCACAAGTTCAGGAAAACTGCAGTGGTGGTTGGGAAGGAGTTTGCCTGCCAAAAAACCCTAAAACAGAGTTTGAACTCCAGGGGCTCAAGGCAGGTGACAATATATAAGGTTGTGCCCTAAAACTGTTGGGTATTGTAATGCTGCATGCAAGAGGATCTAGGAAGGAAAGGGTTAAGAGAATCTCTCCCCCCCCCAGCACACTTGGCAGCTGGCCCACTCTCTCACTGGCTAGGTTTTGAGCCTCTTTGGC